CGGTGCCAGATCATGGCCAAGCCGGTGCCAGATCGTGGCCAAAGCCTTGCCAAGCCGGTGCCAGATCATAGCCAACCCGGCGCCAGATCATGGCCAAGCCGGTGCCAGGTCGTGGCCAAGCCGGTGCCAGATCATGGCCAAAGCCTGCCAAGCCGGTGCCAGATCATGGCCAAGCCTGCCAAGCCGGTGCCAGATTATGGCCAGGCCTGCCAGCCGGTGCCAGGTCGTGGCCAAGCCGGTGCCAGATGATGGCCAAGCCGGGGCCAGATCATGGCCAAGCCGGTGCCAGGACAGGCCGCGGCAAGGCTGGCGCCAGATCATGCCCAGAGCCTGCCAAGCCGGTGCCAGATCATGGCCAAGCCTTCCAGCCGGTTCCAGATCATGGCCAAGCCGGTGCCAGGTCGTCGCCAAGGCGGTGCCAGATTATGGCCAAGCCGGTGCCACATCATGGCCAAGCCGGTGCCAGATCATTGCCAAGCCGGTGCCAGGTCGTGGCCAAGCCCGCCGGCCGGACGGTGCCAGATCATGGCCAAAGCCTGCCAAGCCCGCCGGTGCCAGATCATGGCCATGCCGCCCGGCCCTCGCCGGTGGCATGGCCATGCCGGTGCCCGACAATGCCCGCCCCCCGCCGCCAGATCGCGGCCCCGCCGGTGCCAGCATGCAAGATGACGGCAAAGGCCAACCTGCCCGCCGCGCCGGCCGGTGCCGGATCGTGCCAAAGCCATTCTGGCGCTTTCAAAATCGCCGGCGGATGGGCCTGCCTGTGTTGAAGCGCCGACGACGATTCTCCACAGAGAGACGCTGAGTGCTACTATTCATCTAGCGGAATACTATTAAGTCTGCAGGTTACTGAACACGGGAAGCGGGATAAGGCTAGTTGGTTACAACATGCAACGTAAATTTTTCGCACTACCTTCATTCAATACAACCGGAGTTGTCACAAATGAACATGTTTTTTTTTTTTCAGTGCGGGGAGCGCAATTCTTCCTTATGATAGTTCTTTTCTATGGAATAGACTCTCCAGTAGCGACGCGCTGCACCCAGAAGCCCTGAAAAATATTTCTGTTCGCCTCTTTCCCTTACTTACAGGCAAGCATGCCTACGTAAGACGAATGCAAGTTTTGAAAAGGGCAGCGAGCTGCAAAGTGCAATGCAAATCGCTCCGCTATGAAAATGTTCTCTGCTTGATAAGGTGTCCGGAAGAGGTATGACCGCAAAAATCTTCGAAGGAAGTGGGTTTGTTGTGCCGCCGCCATTCTCATTTTTCTTAAGGCTACAAAAGTCTTTGTTGCAGTGTCCAGAGCGTAACAGCGTTTTTCTAATCTTTCCGACACGCTCGAAGGTCTAGGTCTTGCATTGCATGCATTTGGCAACGAGAACCGAACGCGATAAACAGCCATGCACGACATTATATTCAGATGTTGATCTATCGCAATGCAAAACATTCTCCAAAATCTCGCTTTTTGAAAATATTCTCAAACTATCAATCCAGAATGTCGATGTTAGTGAGAAAGACGTATGGCTCTAGCCGCACTTTTCGAATAAGTACAATCAAAATTTCTCCTGCGTACACTCATCCGGTCCGCGAGCAACATCGTGATCGTCTAGACCCGTTGCAGGCAGGTTGATAATGTCGCCACTCACTTTACATGTTGTGCCCCCTGAAAGCACTGCGTCGTCGGCAACCAGAGGCAGCACAGATGCTGCCCTGCCAGGCACCTCTGCAAAATTCTTCTGGTGGACCAGCTTGCTTTCTAATAAATCAGGGACAGTTTCGCCATCCTTCATGAAGAACCCAGATTCTCGCGCATCGTCTTCCTGCATCTTCTGCAAAATGCGTTGGACTTTCCCATTTAGTGTCCTTCCCCATTGTTCGTTGTCTGGGTTCTTTAGTTGAAATGTGACCTCGCTCGCAGAAAACGCGATGACTTCACTGAAGCAGGCGTCGCGATACTGAGTCGCTGCGTTCATCGGCGTTGCTCTACAAGTCGTTGTATGCGATGCCAGGCTGCTTGCTGCACTCGCCGATGATTGCAAGCCATCATTGGAGAGAGTCTGCGTCGTGGTGCAGTTCTCAGAGGGCAATGTTGAGAGTGCACTTTTCGAAGAATGCTGCGGGCGATGCAGTAGTGTAACAAAACTTCCCGGTAGTGGTCGTGTCTTTGCTCTTTGAAATGAAAGGAGTGGTGGTCCTGAGCACATTGGATCTTTAACCGCGAGGCCGCGCCAATCGAAGGAAAACAATGCGCAAGACTCGTCTTGTAGCGAAATCGTGTCAATGCGCTGCTCTAGATCTCGTTCTAGGCAGCTTTGCAAAAGGTACATCAGGTGCTCTTGTCGCGCTACGTCCTCTCTAGGCGCACGGCACGGCGGGCAAGCCGACGAAGACGAGGATCGGTCTTCGGCCAATTCCATTTCCGGCAGAGTTACCTCACGCTCAGACGTTTCCGTCAGAAGTGCCGTTCGTGCGGAGCTATTTTGTGCTTCAGCTTCAGAGGCAGGAGACGACACCTTGGAGGAAACAGGCACATCAAAAAAATGCTTCTGGGCCGGGTACTGAATCTCCATACAAGGATCCAAAATTGCGCACATTACCCGATTCATTCCGCAGGGCACGGGCTTTTCTCTTTAAAGGAAAAAAGTTGCTTCTTGTACGTCCCATGCGTGCTTAAGCTGCTGAGCCATTTCATACGCTTTCGTGCTGGGTGCACGTGAGGGAATCTCAGGCATCTTCTTTCTCGCTGCTGCATTCAGTGACTAGCATTTGCGGAGCCCCCTGACTACGCAAATATAAAAATGAATCTTCAGTGCAAGAGAGTCACAGGACCCCAAGCCGAAGCGGCCACAAGCAAGTGTAGTCAAGGCTATTTGCTGTAACCTACTATAATGAAATGAATACTACAAGAACTACATCTCAGCTCCAGGAACTGTAGCAGGTCGTTTTTTCTATATGCAGCAACTGAAGTAGCCGCGCAGCTGCGACGCAAGGGAGCAACAGAAGACTTTTGTTTCTTCGCCTATCCTGTATTTCTGTCCTTGAGAAGGCAGACGTGCGGTGGGCGTTCGTAGAGCATCGCATACAGGATGATTCCCAGTGACCAGATGTCAACGCCAAACCGTAGCTTCATGCTCTGTTCGTACTGGTCCCCCTGGTAGAACGCTTCAGGAGCCATGTACAGGAAGGTGCCACACTGAGATGAGGAATGTGTTTTACTTTCATATCCGATCGACATCCAACTTTGACAAGCATACATCTGATGAAAGGTTTTGATGCTACACTACACGACAAAAAACTGACATAAAATATAGCAAGACACAAGCATCATGAGCTCTTTAGTAACAACCGAACCTGGCCATGTCGACTTATGTGAGTTTGGTCCTCGCACAGCATCCGTGCCAAGCCGAAATCTGCAAGCTTTACGCGCTGCTTTTTTTCGAACAGCAGGAAGTTTGCGGGCTTCAGGTCGAAGTGAATGATGTTCTGGGCATGAACGTACTCGACTGCGTCTATCATCTGGCCCCAGTATTGGCCAATCATCTCAAAAGGCATTCCCTCTCCCATTTCGGGACCGGGAGTAGAATGAGAAGCGCATCGCTCGGCAACCAAATCTTGTTTCCGTCGCTCCGAGAAAAACTGTTTATGAAGCGTGTCGAAGTCACAATCAGCCAGCTCCATCAAAAAATACATTTGCAGTTGAGCCCAGTCGATTCTGGTGTCGTAGATTTTGTGGACGCGAGCCCGCTAATTCGCACTCGTGATGCGACACGAACGGTCAGGACAGAATGTTCCTTCTGTTTTTGAAATACTGATCACAAACATAGAAACGGGACTGACTGTCCCTCTGATGATTCTAGTCCTTGGCAAGAACGAACGCAAAAGCAAAACAGATCGGACGGTATGAAAAAGCGCTTCTAAATGAAGAGTCGTTTTTATAGGTCATTAAGCATCCTATCCAACATGCTCGGATGAGACGTGTTCAAGTTACACCATTTCGAGGTTGTAATTAGGGGGCTCAGCAGCTGCATAACAGTGCACGACAGGACAGCCGGTCGAGTATCGCAGCCCAGCGCGTCGCGGTCCTTGAATTGAGCCGGAAGAGCTCGTTCCGGTGCTCTTTTTATCCGGCTCTTCCTGTCCAGTAGGTTCATCGTGAAGACACGATCGCCCTGACGACAGCTGCCTCAGAAGCGCCACTTCGGCTTGAAGTTTCTGCAAACTCTCCTTCCGCGTCGCAGTCACGAGTTTGAGGGCATAATCAATGCCGTTTTTGTCTGTGACGCGATAAACTTGTCCAGAACCTGAATTGTGTTGAGGAGAAAAGTACGGCCAAGAAGTGCGTAAATATCGCCTGCTGCACTGGCCTGTTGTGCTGGCCGGCGGCTTCGATTTCGATGAGAATTCAGTGATTAACGGATTTATGAATGCAAGTCTCCTGTCATTGCGCAGTGTGCACGTCCTGCATGATGTACAGAAATCAATAGCTGCGTTGCCTGTCGGAGTTATAGAAATTCAAAACCCGGGCCTACGAAGCAAATTTTCATGATAGATTTCGAAGATGGGGTCTCGTACATCAAGGTTTAGAAAGCAGAGTATTACTTCTTTCCTTCTTGCTTTCCGAGAAGAGCTGATGGCTGTATCTATCGTAGAGAAAAAATGTTGCCTCAGTTTTTAGTCCACGACAAAAACATCAATTTAGGATTTCCGTACCACCGCGCCCGAGCAGCTCACCAACCACAAACGAACCATCTCTGGCAGAAGTCGCGGGTGCTTTTGTGGCGCTCCCGTTGACTAGGTGCTTTTCTGTCGCAAATTCTCTAGCATAGCACTCTGGGGCAATTCGTCCCCTATCGCAAGATTCTTCCGTCGTTCGACCCTTGGTGTAGCCCTCTATGCGTTCCCTACGTGGTGGGCCGGACTCCTCCGTCGTGCGACCCTTTGTGTAGCCTTGTTCTATGCGTGCCCTACGTGGTGGGCAGGATTCGTCTGTCGTGCGACCCTTGGTGTAGCCTTCCATGCGTTCCATTCGTTGTGGGCAGGACTCGTCCGTCGTGCGACCCTTGATGTAGCCTTCATGTCCCGTAGACCGCACGGCCCAGGGCTCTTCCATGGTGGCGCTCCAGCGGGTGTGCCATTCCTTCCCTGGAGCGCGCACGCGCTCGGGGCGTCTTCCATGGTTTCCCTGCGAAGACGAATTTACCCAGGTCCCCTCACGGCGAAGTTCGTCTCCGGTACCGGATGGCCGCATGCGAGAACCAATGCTACTCTTGTTTCTTCTCAGAAGTGGCACGGCCCTGCTGGAAGACAATATGCTGTTTTACTAAGTACATTGTTAGCTGTACGCAATAAAATATACGTCTTTAGTGGGCGTGTTAGGAATTCTGAACACATTCACAGCATACGAATAGCGGTCGAGTTCGCATCTTTCTGTTTGGAATGATTCAGAACGGAGTACTGATTCACATCTGTATACAGGTGGTGTTTCAAGATGGATTGATTCGTTTGGTTTGGTCAACCAGACCACAAAGACGACGAGACGACTAAGCTAAACGGTTAGGATCGTTACTGTGCTGAAGATCAAGATCGATGGAACCACGCAGGGGAGCTTGAACACGCATTGCATGCTGTGTGCATAAAGCTCTAGTCAACATTCCCCCCCCCAAGCGCAAGCCGTTTTTCGAAAATCGCAGCAAGTAAAAGCTGTACGACAAAATCACCACCAGAAGCTTGCAATGAAAAAGCAAAGCAGAATGGTGGATCACAAATTTTTCTTTCAAAAGCGATCAGGATGGCTACGGCATGAAAAAGCGCAAGGGGCTCCGGCGTATATAAGTTCCTTTCTAAGCCCAAAGGTCTTCAAGTGAAAAGAAGAGACCGGGCACGCCTACCACTGTGAAACAAGCGTCGACCTCCTCAGGGTCTTCAGACACTTTCACTTTCCTCTTGTTCGTCATGTGCGGATTGTGGTGGAAGACGTGATCTCGAACGTCACGAGGCACGTTGTTCTTTGTGAGGCAATCAGCTTTCATGTGCTCAGTGGGACAGAACTTAATCTTTTCGCATTCATCCGCAACTTTGTGGTAGCGCAGGGCAACGTGGCGGCTACGCGGGCGCTGTGCATCGCCTGGCGTCTTGGCGACCGTGATGGCGGTCTGATTGTCCATCCAAAGGTCTTCGCTAGCATCGCGATCTTCAAGAAAACCCTTGAAGGTGCATGTCTCGGACATGATCAGTCCATCAGAGCCAGCTACAAACTCTGCTTCGAATGTGGAATGCGTTCTGACCGATTGGCGCGCGGTCTTCCACACGATGGGGGCGCCTCTGTAGTACAGCAGAGCGCCAGACGTGCTTTTCAACGTTACAAAACAAGATGCAAAACTTGCGTCGGTGAAGAGATTCCAGTCTTTCAACTTTTCTCCCTTTTGCAGAAGTGATCCGTATACCTGCTTGAACTTTTGTTCGTTCTCGGGTGAGTAGTCGATGCCTACGTCTTCGGTGTGAATGACATAGCGCAAAACTTTCTTTACGCATGCGACTATTGCTTTGGTGCAGGGCTTGCTTGCTACCTTTGCGAGGCAGTTAACGGGCTGCGCGATGTCGGGCCTACAAATCGTTACACACCATTGCAGGGCACCTACAGCTTCCCGCAACGGGAATTTCACTTCGGGCGAGGCGGTATCGTACAGAGCTGATTCGGTGAAGCATGGATTGTCAACTTTCTTACAACCAACCATGCCAAACTTCGGAGCTAGTTTTGTTCGGATGTAACTCTGCATGCAAATACGTACTTTGTACTTGTTCGGGTTGTAGTGGACATCTGCACCGAGCTGATCATACAAAAGATCGCCATTTGGTTGGTGTTCGGGCTCAATGATCTTGCCAGGAAACTCTTTCAAAATCAAACTGACTTCATGCCTAAGCTCGTGCTCGTCCGGGCCTGTTGCGGTGTTGTCATCTACATAAACTCCCATCTTCATATACTTACTGAACTTCTTGTAACTCTGGAAGTTGTTGCCTGTGGCCTTGGAGAGCTTTCTCCACAACCCTTTTTCTGTTGACTGTGTCCAACCGAGACTGACTAACTTCTTTTCGTAGTGCTTTGCCCACAGCCTCGGGGATTGTGGTAACCCATAAAGGGCACGAACTAGCTTCCGAATACCATCGTCGTTTTGCTCACGCCATTCCTTTGGCAGACGAATGAAAATTTCCGAATCGATCAAGCTCTGTACGAATGCGTTGTCAATGTCAAACAAAATTATGGCATCACCATGCGCGGCGGCATCGATCAGCAGGTAGCGCGAGGCTCCAAAGCTGATTACGGGCGCGTAAACTTCTAACTCACCGCCGGGCTTGTAGAGATTACCTAGGACGACAGCACGGCACTTGAACTTGCCACAGCGCTTGCGGCTAAGCACCAATGCTATCGGGACCACGCCTGTGGTCTTAGCGCGTTCTAACTCTTCTGGAGTAGGCACTCTCCACGTCTGAAACGCCTCAAGCTTGCACTTCTCGAGGGATTTGGCTTCTAACCAGTGCGGCGCATCTGGCGAGCTCATCGCGGCAACGTTCGCGAACTGTGGAAGTGCTTCGACTAACTCTTCACCCTCTTCGAAATCGTCTACGACGCTGTCACATACATAACAATCATTGATCACTTCTGCAAAGTCGGCATAAAACGCATCTGAGTTCTCGGCTTCGGACAATTGCTGCTTTGTTCTTCGCGTGCGTTGCGTTTTGTCCTTTGCCCCTTTGGGCCTACCGCGCGGGCGCTTGGTCTTTTCGCGACCAAAGACCACTTCAGGGTCTGGCTCATGGTGTTCAACCGTGTTCCGGGCGGGCGCGCGCGATGAAACTGAATCAGGTGCGGAATGCGGATTTTGTACTTGCGAATTGTCACCACTGGCATGCTGATTTGACTGAAGATTGATGTCTTTGAACGAGGCAGAGGATGCGTTATGAGCGTGTTCTTGTGAAGCTGCTTTCTCGACTTCTAAAAGTGGCAGGGAGTTGGACCCGCCAACCCCCCCAGAACCTGAGACCTCTGAACCACCCGGATTTTTGCGCACAGGAGCACAATCCCGATCAGAACCAACCACCCGGGCATTGTCCTTCGAGCCACAGATAGTCTGCAGGAGCTGGTCGTCTGAAACTACGACGCCACCGCGGTACCCTGGGCGTAGAGAGTCAACATTGTCGATCAAAACTGACTCGACAAACTTCACGGCGTTTGTTTCGTAAACTGCCCAGCGCAAAGCGCCGGCCTTGGAGTATCGATCATCCTTAACGTAAGTTCCAACTAGATAGCATGAGGACTGATCGCAATACCCAAGAAAGACTCCTTTCGTGTACTTCTCTACAAGTTTCTTGACCCCTTCTACTGGTTGTCTCAGGAAATAAGCGAGGCAACCGAAGCGACGCATCCTGGAGTCAAAATTCGAAGTCTTCAATATCTCATCGGGCTCTTGGGGTTCTGTGCGAGAAACTTTCCGGTCATTTTGCAGTGACTTCCTCTGTCGACAAGCTTCCAAAGGTGAGAGACCATTGAACTGAGGGGCGCGCTTGTAGAATTTCCGCTGTAAGCGATTCCACGTGTATACAAAGTAAGAAGCGGCATAATCCCAAAGTCTCAAGTCGACACCCACTAGATTAGCCCTTAAACCGGGACCCAGAGTACCCATGAAGCGTTCGCACACACCATTCTTCTGTGGTACGTATGGGACTGAGTGCTGCCGAAAAACGGAGAGCGCTTGGAGCGTATCCTCCCACTTCTTTGCTCTGAACGTGGGGTCGTTGTCACTGCGGACAAACCATACGACCTTATCTGTCAAGTCGATGCTGTCCGATGCGCGAAGTTGCTTGATTAGCCGTTCTACGACTGCGTAGGCCTGATCTTTGTGCTTCAACTTGAACTCAAACACACGCGCAACAGCAGGGCAAATGAAAATCAATAGCCATGAATTGCCTGTCAAGCTGACGGGTTTGACTGGACCCCAAAAGTCAGCATCAAGTTGCTTTAGCGGTGTTGGATCAGAGTACTTCTGTGGTCGTTCTTTCCTAGCACCTGACCTGCCACCCTTTGCGAGGGCGCATTCAGGGCAAAACACCTCTTCACCTGGGACATGGATGTGGCCACGTCTTCGGTGTCGGTCTAACTTGGACAAGTAGCATAAATGCTCAAAATCCTCTACGCAGTCGGCCAAGGCATCTCCAGTGAAAATAGAAGCAGACTCATCGAGCTGTCCTACGCGGCGCTTTTTGCAGCAGTTGGATAAGCAATCAGGTGTGAAAAGATTGCAACCAAAACGCGACGCAGACAAAGCGTCTTCCTCTGACAAAACCTCTTCAAATTCTCTGCAGTATAAAGCCACACCCGTGCCGAAAAGCTCACCATCAGGCAAAAATGGTAAGTCAGGCGGGTTATTTTCTAATGGCACTGCGACATCTGCGAATCTTGAAACTATCTCAGACTTGGCTACTGCTTTTGGTTCTAGCTTTACTGACCAACCCATTGCGTTCAGGGTGGTTGTAGGTAAAAGGCGGCGCACGGGCAAAGCGCTGTGAAAAATACCTACTGAGTAACCAAGTCGATTCGTCTTCAGCCTACCTATCCTTGGAGGATTTTTCGCTTGCAAAGTGCCTCCGACTCCATTGATTTTCACAGGATTGGAGCGAAAGGACACAAAATCGCTAAGCACACTCGACACGTAATGAGTAGTGCCACTGTCGAGGATATCCCTGTTTGTCCTCTGTTTTCTTTCCTCTGCCGAACCTTCATCCAAAATGGATTTGTTGATCTTGCACTCTATAATCGGCATTGATTGATCGATCTTGCACAGTAACGATTTTTGATTGTAACTAGTAGCATCGTGACTTGTGTAAAAGCACGAATAGTAGTTGTCGTCGTCATCAAATACATCGCTCTTTTCATCAGTGTTCTTCGACACATCAACGAAATTTGATTCCAACTCAACATCGATTTTTACATCGTGATTTGAATCCATCAGCATCGATTTATCATCGACATCATCAGCAGAATCGTGGTCCTTATGTCACCACTTGCGACCCTTCTGGTGAGACTTGTAGCCACCTTTCTTCACGCCGTGTTTGCCACCGCCCTTGCCACCACCACCGCCCTTCTTGTGGTTGTTGCCGTAGTTGTTCGCGGGTGGTGGGGCAGTGTTCTTCTCCTGTTGGCGTTTCTTGCGATAGCAGTAGTGAACGTCATGTCCTGGACGTTGGCAATACGTACACCAGAGGCCTCCTTGATTCTGCGCGTTGTTACCATAGGGCTGATTTCGATTCGCATAGGTATTGGAATTGTAGTTTTTGTTGTTGTGTTTTCCCTGTCCTTTGTGACCCTTATTCATCATAACTAAAGCGGTTTGGTTATTGATGGATTGACACATCAATTGCTGTTCGAAGGTCGCGCCTTCCGGTGCGACGATGAAGTTGGAATTTTTGTTGGAAGAAGAAGAAGCAGATGATGACGATGCACCAGCAAGAAACGCATTGGGGTTTGCGTTCGCGGGGGCGACGTTCGATCGTGCTAAATGCAAAGTCGCTTGCTGTTCCTTTTCAATATTCATTCTGCCTGATTTGATGAAATCCATCACCATTGCCAGTCCTTCTTTCTCCCAAGTCGCAGTAGTACTGTTCAAGTTTCTGATCTCCGCCATGATTGTCTTCATGCAAGTCGGGTCAAGTCGGAATTTGAGGACATCCCACATCTGACGATTGATCGCAGCCGCATCTGGGTATCTGTCTTTCAGAAGGAGGATTTTGCTGTACTTTTCTGCGTAGATCCAAATAGAAAAATCTCCATCCTTCTCCATGTCGTAGCAGACAGTAATCAATTCGTTGTTGGTTGTGTCACTGTCAATTGAAGATGCTTTCTGATCCCAGTGCGATGACAGAAGGAAGTAACATTTTACAAAACCCACTGTCTGGCTGTTCGTGATCAATTTTGCTGCGTCGTCTTGCAATGCATTCAAAAATGTGGACTCGAGGGAAAACACATCTTGCTTTTGCTGTGCTGTCAAACCAGGCTGAACATTTTGAAAGTTCGTCTGCTGGGTGTTGTCGTTCAAAATTGCCTGCCATTGTGCGTCCAATTCCAATACCATGCTCATCATCGATTTGATTTTATGCTTCCACATCGTCCAGCCCTCGGAGTTCTTTATCTCCGGGCAGATGATCTTCCGATCTACCGTCGGCATACCGTCGGGATTCGTAAATCAATCTATTCCAAAGAGAGATTTTTGCGTGTAGATGCCGATGGTGTTCCGACGGAAAAATTTGGACTTGTGGATGGCGAAGTTGTTCGTTGGCTCGCGATTACCGGTCTCACCGGCGGCACCAAGTGTGAATCAGAATGTTAGGAATTCTGAACACATTCACAGCATACGAATAGCGGTCGAGTTCGCATCTTTCTGTTTGGAATGATTCAGAACGGAGTACTGATTCACATCTGTATACAGGTGGTGTTTCAAGATGGATTGATTCGTTTGGTTTGGTCAACCAGACCACAAAGACGACGAGACGACTAAGCTAAACGGTTAGGATCGTTACTGTGCTGAAGATCAAGATCGATGGAACCACGCAGGGGAGCTTGAACACGCATTGCATGCTGTGTGCATAAAGCTCTAGTCAACAGGGCGGCATCTCCTCCAAAGCAAATGAAATACACAAATGAAATCAATGAGTACTGAGTATTGGCTTGGGAGGCACTTATATCCATATGCCTATTCCCCAAGATGTACATGAATGAAAGAGAACCTCCGTCGGCCAGAATTATAACTGGTGGTGAAATCATCATCAAAGACACAAACACTGTGCACACAATTTTGTCGCCAATGCGAGCAATTCAGAACCACTACTGCTCGTGCTCATTCCAACACAAGGCCGCCACAAGTTATATTTTATTTATAATATAAATCTATAGCATCTCAACACGTCAGCACGCGACGGTAGACCCGCCTAAGATCTTTAATCAAACATAAAAGATTGCTCGGCAAGGATCGATAATCGACGACCCTGACCATGATTCGTCCATCGACCTAAACATTGTAGTTTTGCATCTTGATGCAGCTCCTTGTTCCCTACCTCTAGATCTTTGTATATGAACTTTTCTTTTGTTTTCACTTGTCGCTGGTTCGCTCATGCGATACTGGCCCTACTTGTGCGGAGGTTGCGGACGTGCCTTTGCGTGAGATACTTATTATCTATGAATTTCCATTGGGAGATCATGGATCTTTTTTGCGTTTTCGTATCGATGTAAAGACCGAAATTGAATGCAGATGCACTACCACTCGCAAGCGTGATGAGACGTTTTCGGCCGGAAGATGACAATGCGTCCTCTTCATATGCCAAGAAATTGTCTGCAAAGACCGTTCTTTTCATGACGGATCTTGCATGGGACTTCTGAAGTCGTCAACTTCTTCTAAGCCAGTACGTTTTGCTTGTCCTGATTCACATACTTTGTGTCGACACTCAAAAGAATTTCTCGCGCTAGTTGCAATCGGCAAAAGTCAACCATTTAGTGTAAATTGCTTCGTGATGGAAAGAAAACGTCGCGAGCTCTGTGGCGGGACGATATATACATCTTCTGTATAGTCATAGGCCAGACATTCCTTTAATTTTCTCCAAGTGCGTGCTAATTTTCCACGGACAAAACCAAAACTTCTTCTTGGAACTTATGTCGATTGGCTTGGAATCTGAGTCTAGCTTCTTTGTCATGCAATCCAAACAGCCTTTTTTGGAAAACCTCATCCGGCGCGAAATCTGTTCCGAAGGTAAAGCGGAAGGTGAATTCGCAGGCCTTGCAGACAAGCTCAACCAATCGGTAAAACTTGTTACAGGATCGTAACATTTCGCGGAGGGAGACTTGCTGTTTTTCATCAGCGTAGGAGATGCCTTGCTCAGCGTCACTTGTTCTGCGACTCGAGACCCACACTCGTGCCTTATGTCCATTCAGCATCTTCTTTGCCATGGCGTGGCTAGACAGAAGTGGCAGCTTACTGTCAAGGTTAAGGAGACAATACTGCTGTTGATGAATACCTGCAAACTGTTCCACAACTTCTGGATTATCGCACGTTGGTTCCGCCGAGGATGGACCGACTGGCTTCGCTCGACCCAGCCTTGTTGCTATACTCCGAGGCAGGTCGGAAAGTGTGTGGTAGGTTTTTTGTGCGATTGTTTTCATCCTGCGCCAGCGCTTATCACTGCTTGGTTGGCTATGCTCTGTTGGTGTCGCAATGCCATCCGCAGTAGTGTCGTCGCAGCTCGCAGCGTGCTGCTTCTCCATCAGATGCTCCTGGGTGTATCGCAGCAAAGCGCAAATTCAATATCTCGGCCAACGAAATCGAGCAAAGATTTGTAATAGAACAGGAATTTATTTTCATTTGCATTCGCGTCTCAATAGCTTTCTTTGGTGAAGCGGCACGATCGTCGGTCGCCAGTCATGTCGTCACGGCAACACCTTTGAGTCTGCTCACAGTAGCTACAACACTGCACTCTTCAACAACTTACGGCTCGGATTACATACATACGTCACTGAATGTCGCGGCGATTTTTTGCCACCATGCAATAATGTTCATAAACCAGCTACTGGGTCGATAGTCACATACATCAAATTTGTGTTGCGCAGACCGAGGTTTTGCCTAGTACGTCGCAATGCATAGCTTGGCGTCCTCTAGCTTCCTCTGGGCATTTTCTTTTTTGATCTGTAGTAGGCTTTCTTCGATATCGGCGTTTTTCTTCCTATCTGCATCATACTGCGTTTGATACCATTCTTCCATTTGCTGCATTTTCTTCCGCATTTCCTCATCGAAGTCTTCCAAAGCCTGATCCGGAATATGGAAGCATGACATCTAGCCAGGGAGTGAAATTGCTTGATCCGTGTCCGGGGGGTCCAGCATGTGCAAGAATACTACAAACTTCGTGCTCCCTTACCTTTGAAGAGCAGCGCAGGTGTGGTTGCTATCGCATATCTCCAGCCAGAAGTGGAAAAAATAAAAGAGTAGTTGTCCGGACTTCTATTTACATTGAGCGAAGGAGCGCACTGCCACTGCGAGTAGTCTAATATATAAATGTGCAGACCAACAGCTGACATGGGGCAGCAGTCGCTTCTCCGAATGTGGTTTTTCCATCTTGCTCTCGCGAAGGCGTGCACTGAGCAAGCACATACTAACTTACAAGACAAATTTCACTCCACCGCGAAAATTCAGTATCATACATTCGGAGGCGCTGTGCTGCCTCGCGGGCTGCGTCGCGATCTCGGTCCATCGCCTCGATTCTTTCTCGCTGTTTCTGCATGCGGTTTCGACGTTCGCCAGGTCTATTGTGCGACGAGGCGCTCGATGAGACTGAAGATTCTGACTCATCAGGGTCGGAAGATGATGGCGCCCGTGCGGAGCTACGATCCTTTCCACCCTCTTGCAAAGAGTGTCGCTTTCGCGAGCGCCGGGACGTGATCGAGGAAGGTGCCGAAGATTTGCTGGAATGCAAAAACGTCCCAGCTCCACACCCCTCGTGATAACAATAAAAAGGCAGGGCCACGCTGACGCTTTGCCTATCTCTAGATGGCATGCCACATCACAGGTTGGTTGCCATGCCACGCTCCTCAGGAAGTGTGATGCTTAGCTTGAATGTAGGTGTAGCGTGGGCATACTCTCATGCGCGTCCGTCTTGGAGGTCTTTGGAGTAAGTAAATATCACCTGCTCTAATCAGGACATACTCAGGCCGCGGCCATGTTGACAGCCACTAAGTAATCCAACCCTAAATAGTTTCTCATGCAGGACTCGAATACCAATTCGTCGAGTTCCGATTTCATCGAGATGAAACGGCATGACGCTTCTGCATGATTAGACTGTGGCTCAGGTTGCAGTACAGCGTCACACGCTCGCTATGAGCTGGGAGGGTTGTTACACCAGATAGATTCGCAGTCACTGCTTCTCGGCGACATTGAGTCATGCGACAATCCAGAATCTGGATTATCGCATGACTCGTTGGATTCCTGCGCTGCAGACACCGTTGGTTCCGCGGAGGATCCACCGACTCGCTTCTGTCTTCGCGTCGCTCGATCAAGTGCCTGCGCATTGGCGTGCTTCGCTCGAACCAGCCTTCTTGCTATGCTCCGACGCAGTTTGGAAAGTGCGGGTTTTTGCGCGGTTGGTTCCATCCTGTGCCGGCGCTTATCACTGCTTGGCTGGCTATGCCCTGGTCGTGTCGCAATTCCATCCTCAGAAGGTTCGCTGCTGCGCAAGAGGGCCGTCTCCTGTTTTCCGCTCTCTTCTTTTCCGCTGTGCCTCAGTTCCGCGTACTCTTCTCCGCTACGAATGAGGTCCGTCTCCTCTTTTCCGCTGTCCTCTTTTTCACTGTGCCTACTCCGCTCGTCTTCTTCCCTCCTGCGCTTTTCTTCTTCGGCTCGTTTCCGGTCTCGCTCCCTCTTCTGGTCTCGCGCTTCCTGCAGTGCGGCCTTTGCCTCGTTATTTTCGTCTATTGCTTGACGGAGCTCCTCTTCTGCTTCATGCTTCTTCCGCTTGTCTCTACGCAGACCAGTCTCGCCCTCGGCCACGCGCTGTTTCAGACGTGCGATCTCCGCGCGGTCGTGCTGCTTCTGTCTTGCGAGCGCACGATCGTTTTCGCGCATTGCATCCTGTCTGTGGCTGCATTCCTGACGCAGGCGCCTTCGCTCCGACTTTGCATGCTGCTCCCTCTCCCTCAGGTCGCGCCGTTCGTTCTCGTCCGACTCCAGCTTGCGATGAAGAGCAGTTTCTGTCTCAGCCATGCTTTGTGCATACCATGTATCGAGGGCCTCACTGTCACCCTCCCAGTCGCCCGTGAAACGGGGTGGCGTCCTAGTAGCGGCTTGATCCAACGACCCCAGCGGAATGCAGTGTAAGTGCGGCGGGATCAGAGAAAGCAAGTTTGGTGTCATGCCTAGTATCTGAGGAGTAAGTGTGCCTCACGACTCATGCTGAACTTGAATGCTTGTGTGCAGAAAAGTGCCACGAGTGCTGACGTGACGTATTGAATGCCCCTCCCTTATTAATCTTTTATGCGACTTACGTTTTCAATAGAGCGATGTCCATTTATTTTGTTGCGATGGTGCAACTTGTCTACTAGACGAGCCGGTATTCAACAAGAACTTTTACAACCACCAAGCATGTCGTGCATTGGTATGCAAGAGCAAGTACTCTGCCTGATCACAGGTGAAAATAGTGCTTCTTTGTGTCTTTTCTGACCCCATGACTGTGATACTTACATCAGATAAGCTGAAACTCGTGTTCGAGCCCTGCATGCTGCTCCCTCTCCCTCAGCGACTGCAGCTCGTTTTCCTCCAACTCCAGCCTGCGGTGGCGTTCAACTTGTGTCGGGGCCATGCTTTGCGCGTGCTGTCCCTTGCGGACCTCACGCAGATGCAACGCGAATCGCAATAGAGGATCGGCGATAGAGGATCGGATAGAGCCTCGGCATCGCATCGGCATCGCGATAGAGGATCGAGCCTTCACCAGCCGAATTGCGTGTAAATGCGGTAGGGTCAGAGAAAGAAGCTTTCGGCGTCATGCCTAGTACCTGAGGAGTCAGTGTGCCTTAATCATGCTGACCTTGAATGATTGTGCGCGGCAAAATGCCTCGAGTTGTTCTGACGTGACGCATTATTTGGCGCCCCTTCCCAAATTAATCTTTGTATGCCACTTTTTAAGTTTTGAACAGACCGATATATGTAACTTGTATGCTACAAGGGCAGGTATTCAAGTAAGTAGTTTTACCACCACGACCAAGCATCTAATGCATCTGCATGCCAGAACAAGTACTCTGCGTGATCACATGTGGCAAGAATGGTACTTCCTAGCATTTTTTCTGTCCCAATAATACTTACATCAGATAAGCTGTGTCCCAAGTTCGACCCTTATGCCGTGCTCCTTTGTGCGTGCTTTTTCGAGTGTCTCTTGCTGTTTCAAGTCCGCTGGGAGGTCGATGGGCACCTGCACGTGGACGCCAGGGCCTGCCCACTGAACGACGAGCTCGTCCCCCGGTCGCAAGGCGTTCCAGCACGGAATCAATGCCGATGAAGAACAGGCTTGTAGCGGCGACTTCACTTCTTCTTTAGGCTCGTTGTCATCCACTTGTCTTCTATTTCCGAACACTGACGCACCACGGACCAGGACTCGGTAGCCATGTTCGTCGATTTTTTCCACCGAAACCCCAAGCAGCGACGAAAGAGAGTTCTCTAGTCGAACTTGAAGCAAGGGGTGGTCTTGCACGGTCCAACCCCCCCCCGCGGCCCAGGTCGCCTGCACAGCGAGGTCGAAGGGTTCACCATTGTCAAGATCCAACCTCTCGGCTGTCCATTCGTTTTGCAGAGAAACGGGAACGCGAAAATCCTTTTGAGTTGCAACTACTCCAGATGGAGAGTATATGAGGAAAACGCCGTCCGTGGTTGGAAATTGGCATCCCGTCGGACATTCGACGGAAAGTGGGTTGCGGTTGTCACTTAAATCAGAAACTGCTCTTCCACCCATCGGATCGCAACATCCCCAGTTGTTGCATTTTTCAGGAAAACTGGGCTCGGAAACTACGAGGCGAATACTATAAAGACGAAGCCGCTGCGGCTTTACTGATTACTTGCATCTTTGCGCCGGTGTTTCTGTATCCGTATGTGCTAGGGGCGCAATCGATCATACCTCGATGATGCGCTCTACACAGCAGAGCAGCATGCCCACGCGCAGAGCTATGCGTAACAATCTGGGGCGGAGTTGAGCCGTGCAATACCTGAAGCTCAAATTGTACTTCGGTTCTACAGGTATCAGTAAGTAGGTACTGCACTCGAAGCTGAAGCAAATGACTGAAGGGATGCTCAGAGGCGCACAGATGCAAGCGGATGCAAACAGCAAGATTCATCCAGATAAAGCTCGTTCTTCGACGACTCGTCCCCCGAAACCGCCCGAACAGGATCGCCGGCACCGTGGAGCTTGTCTTCCATGACAAGTCTGATGCAAAGCTCAACCTGTTGAGGAGAGGTTAGTTCGCTGCATATGCGCTGCCGCTGGTCCGGACTAGCATGCTGCCTCGAAGCGCCATCATCTTCATCCAGAAATGGAGAATGATCATCCCAGTCACTCAGCAACGAAAACCAAGGAATTGTCGGTGTGAAAAGTCGCGGCACCCTGAACTGTGGAGTTGCGTGTTCTGCAATGTAAACTTTACTTCCTTTCTCATCAAAAAGAGCCATCTAGCAGCTGCCAGTAAAGTATAAATACAAGTAACTTTAGAGAGAAGTGCCTTTGCTTCGCCAGGATGCCTGCAGTTTTCATTTTGTTACTACTGTAGTCCATTGCCTCTGCACGGTCACTGGTTTGCACGGCGCCACGATAGCTGAAGGCATGGATGTCGCCTAGACACTGCGTACAGCCGTTGCCCACTTTCCAAGTTGGATGAAAACGCATAGTTATCACTAGGAAAAAGTCTACCTGCTGTACCTGTCCGATTTCGCGAGACTCAATTACAAATGTATGCGACGTACGTTTTTCCACATGCATGCTGGGCCTGTTGCGCCGCCAGGCATAGAAAGTATACACTCACAGAGGTTTTGACTTTGTAATCGGGCCGCTTCCAGGGAAGAGAGGATTCAGTTGTTCAGTCGTAGACATTTTTTTGGCAGTTTCATAGCATCATAATTTGCAGCAAGTATGCGCGCCCTGGCCGCAAAGTCGGGCATCAAAGATAAGTTCTCTTCCTCGGATGAAAGTTTCGTGGCGAAGTGTTCGTACGCTCCGGAGGTGACGGTAGGCCAAAGAGCTTGGCTCATCAGTTCATCGTACGAAAGTAAGCCGCGAGTAACTAGGCGCTTGTAGGGAACGTGCACACCTGGTAGGGAACGTGCAGCACCTGCCGAATTTCCGGAAATATCCCAGATGGAAATAAGCACCTGCCCCGCCCGCTCGGCGACATCTGCCAGGGCGTGTAATAGGTCCCGCACATGGGTGAAGCCATGCCTTCCTACTTGCCGCGGAAAATAATCGCGCCAAAACAAGTCCTGACCTCGTTCATTTTGATGTGAAAAGCCCGAACCTGCCCTGACGTCGTTCATTTTGTGAAGCATGGACGCAACATTGGCAGCCGCGTGGCGTCGCAACTCCCGCAGCTCGGACAAATCCAGATCCTCCTCGTCGCGTGGTCGGATGCTTGCAAAATAATCCTCGACCTGCTTCGGAGATTTTGGAGCGACTTCTCCTGGCTCTCTGGCTCTCATCTCCTCGTGAGCTGGCGTCGGGTCCGGTGTCGTGTTGGTATGCACAAAGTTCAGCAAGTACCTTGCAGCGCTGCCGCTTTGGTCCGAAGCGGAATACTGCGGCAATTTGCGTTCCAATCCGACCCGATTCAAGTACGCGAGTTCTGGTAGTAGCTTTAAATCAGGAAGCTCTGCTCGCTCCTGTTCAGCATCGCGGTTTGTCTGCACCCCCTGCGGTCGGAAGGGTATCACAACGGCCAGGTCCCGCAGGGTCTGTGCCAGGCACACATATGGGAGTTTGTCAGAAGCTGCGACGCAGGCAGGAAGAACCGCTGGAGAAGCCAGCACTGCCAACAGTTCGCTGTAAGTCAACTCAACTCTTTCCACGTCTTTTCCTGCGATGTACTTGTGTGTGAGGGTCGTGCGGGCAGATACTTCGATGGTTTCGTGTGCTCCGTACATGGTGTAGGGATTCTGAGACACAAGTTCCACTGGAAGTTTTTCGTTATGACTAGCCGCCGGGGTTGCGAGTTCCTTGATTGCATTTTGGAGGGCATTTCTGACAACGTCATTCGAGTGACGGCTCGAAACCGGGGCGTGCTTGACAATCTTGGAAAATAACGCGGCTTCGAAATATAGTTTCTGAATCACTGTGTCTAAGCGGCATCGAAAAACCGACACACCACGGGTCCTCGTCTCTTCTTCATCTTGGTAAAGCAGCTGCATGTTGCACATATCATTCTTCTGCTTCCAATTCCATTGCGGCCCTTCGTGTTCCGCGAATGCATCACGACGTGGCCGATGTGGCTCCAGGTACAGGCTCCGGACGAACTATGGAAGAGCAGAAGCACGTAGGTAAGTAATTCTCAACTTGTTCGGGCCAAAAGCAAATCTTTCCTTGCAGTTGCGTTCAGTGGTGCTTTTTCGACACTGCAAACTAGCAGAGAAAACATATGCAGTACCTTCATTTGCGAAACGACTAGATTGTCAAAAACGGCGTCAAGAACATCTTCTTACGAAGAGTCCCGTCCGGCCATGAGGCATGTGCGTCTGCATCTCCGAAGCGACGCTTGATACATAACGCTGACTCTGGTATGCGAATATTACTTTCACGACGCTGAGCAACAAATGAATTGACTCCAATAATATCGGCGGCAAATTGTCCCGAATGCCGCTTTCGTTTTTAGCTTTGCACGCGTCGATCACAACCTTGACCTACCACTTCTGTTGCCATAAGTGGTCTTCGTGCGCGTACATGGACTGCAAGACGGGCGAATCCATTAGGATCTCGTAGGAGCCCGTTGTTGTTTTTACGAACTCGTTGCTCTGCCGGCCGTACACCACGTCCAGAAAAACCTGACTCTCATACGTGCTTATGTTCAAGCCTCCATCTATTCGATGCTGCTCATCTATTCGATGCTGCTGCTCCTTCCGGATTTCGGGAAGGAACTCACTCTTAGTTAATGCACGAAGTGGTCGATGATCGTCATTCCCGGCGGACGATTTTAACATGGCTCGCTCTACATTGGTAGGAAGGCTCAGATATTGCTTACTGTGATATAGCCACAGTGCAGGAAGCTGCCACGTCTTCCACAACCTTGGTTCCCCGTCGAATCTGGTCTGGTCCACCTCCACTTCGCGCAGTCGGAGCTTCTTCTCGAACACATAAGGTAGATTGTCTGTCTCGGACCGGGACCCCGCGCCAATTCCGTACAGAAACTGTTTCTCTTTTGTTTCTGCGCTTTCGAAATGGATTCCGTCATTCGACACTTGGAAGAGATGCCAGTTGGGAAGGGACCAGTCGTGTGTGCGTCGCTGTGCCAAAGAAAAAGAAACCAGAGGCACCGCACCTGAAAAACTCCAATCAAAATCAGACAGCCGCAAATGAACGGCGAAGGGGACCTCCGCGCAATTCATTTTTCGTGTCTGCCATTCAACATAAACTTAGAGTGATCATCTCGGTATGGAGACGACTAGGAGTTATCGCGTTCAGGAGGCCTGATCCCGCCTGGCAGGCGGTCAGGGAGGATGACAAAACAAGGCATCTTTGCTAAAATCTTTAGGTAGTGCTGTTCTGGAGGTGCAGATGGCCAGGCTTTTCTTTGCGTAGGCCATAATATCGTTCCCTGCTGTGGTCCGTAAAGAGAACGCACTGGTCGTCCTCGCGAGCCCCAGAAATATTGCTGTCTTGCCTCCAAATAGTAGGCTCCTTGGCAAAAGCAATATCGACCCTTTTTTTCAGCTCCTCCAGCACCAGCCGGGTGTAGGCTACGGATTGCATTGTATACACGCCGGAACAAGTGGACACAGCTGCCCTGGCCTCGCTTGCTTGCGATTGAGCTACAACAACCTTCCTTTTCATCTCCTCTGCACCGTTTTCGTGGGGTAGAAGCACCCGATCAAATTCGCGCGGTGCTGCAAGGAGTAAGTGCTCTCCCAACAGCCCCTCGTTGTAATCACCGCCGGGATTGGTAGCGTCATAATTCACGAATGGTACAAATTCTTGCGAGAGTCGCCGAGAGAAACCCGTCAAGCGATCTGCGTCTGTCAAGGACAAATAATCGTGACGATGGTACTTGGAAATAATGTTCACTTCGGGGTCCTCCTCTTCGGAGGAAAGCTTTTCCGGACGGTTTGCTCCCTGGTGCAGCACTGATTGGTGGTCGCGGCCCGTCTCGATGATTTCTTTTTGAAGTGTTTCGGAGCTTTTCCCCCAAACTGGGTGAAACATGCTGGAGCGGCGTCCAATCCGAAGTTGTAGCGCAGCCGGTTGTGTCCATTCGGGGTTGGAAGGATAAACCAGATTGCCGAAAATCGAAGCG